TCTACAACATAATGCCGAAACAACACATTTCATGCCCCGTTTCAAGTGAACATATTTATATATCAAACTAAACCAAGGTCGTTCACATGGTTTATTCTCTTTACAGTGCACAATACTGAATGCTGCTTTGCCCGAGGAGGTCTGGGACGAGCTCGCCCAGCTACAATCCCAAGACGAAAATCAGATATCCCAAGTTGAGTTGCCCGAGCTGTGGCCAGCACCTTCAACATCAGATAACCCTCCCATCCTCGAGGCTTTTACGACAGTTAACCAGGGAGCCACTCAGTGGGCCTCAACATCAGATGGCCCTCCTATCCTTCACCAAGAGGCGATGGGAGATGATCTAAAACTAACACAGCAGAACGACCAAGAAGCGGCGGTACAACTTCTTGAGCTGGGGTCAGTTACCTCACTAGACCCATTGGACGAGCTGATGAGGGAGCTGGACTCGTCCCTGGAGGCCACAAACCGTATACCAATCGATGGGGCGTGGGATAGTACCCCCACTATCTCCATCCCCTTTGGAACCCCAGGGACGAGAGTAAATGCAATGTGCACTTTGTGCACAAACCCCACAATTCGTCAACGAGTAATAACCAACGCGGCCCCAACCCCTGGACAAACGCAGACGGCGGTACTCTTCGCAGTACACCCTGGTACCAACTACCAGGCACTGTACTGTGAGGACTGCCGGTACATCACCATGTTTTCTATTTTCCCGTCTGCATAAATTCACTTAACTTCACAAACCCTACAGTCATATGGCCCAATCTCCCAAAAAGTAATCAGTTCAACATCGTCATAGAAATCATGCATAATCACGTCAATGAATTTTTCAAGTCACCCCTCAAAATTAAAATTGATCATCCCAATTTGCATTGCATTACACAACTTATACCATTCCAGTTTTCATACATAAAACCTATCAAATCCAGTTTAATGATGCCCCTTACTTCCTGAGATACATTCGCTAAATCGGCCATAAATAGCTACGAATATTACCAAGGGCCATTTTGACCTGTACTTCCTGATGTTTACGTTCTACTTACGACTCACTTTCTTCTTTGACATTAATCAGACAATAGGGCCTCCTCTGGAAATTGTTCGCCGCCCTTTCAGGAACACAACTCTTTATATTCATTCTAGCTTCATTTGTACTTCAATGCAACGTATAGTTGATCCTTCGCTACTTTACACTGTTCTTACTGCTTAAATTAAATCAAATAGGATAAATTCATCTGACCTATGTACTGTTACACCCACCAATTCGCGTTGTTATCACCTTTACAATGTGCTAAACTTATACCGCACTCGATAAGTACAACTTATCGCGTGTCTCTTCAAAACTTACACAGTCCAGAGCCGAAATTATGCACTGTTAGAAAGTTCCGACCCGAACTATTCTGTTCATAGGTATTTGTTACAATGTGTCTGACACACCCCATACATCGTGATGTTCATCTCCCGTATATTTTCCAGGATCAATTCCGATATTCTTATTTTTCAATGGCTTATGTTGGTCCCCTGTGGAATTCCCTAGTATCAAATTGTTACACTAAAGCGATTTTATATTGACCATTCTAGATACTTTTATTCCGTTCTTCCTGACCCGTTATCTCACTTCTCATTTGCTGGCTCTGGACAAATTTGCTTTACATTAGATTCCATAATTTGCCTTACTGGAAACAAGACTCAGGTCAAACGCTCCATAATTTACCGGTTCGAATGTCGAAATTTCTTCAACCATATTACGTTATAAAATAGTGCCACTGCAGTTCATGCTTTCGGAACCAACAAGGGGCAATATATATACACCTGACTCTTGCTTCATTTTTTGTGTCGGGCAGTTGCAGGCCCCACGGCAAATTATTATCTGGTAATACTGTACCACACGCCCATTATTGCAAAATGGGATTACAAATGAATCGACTATTAGTTCGGCTTGGTCTTCCCACCACGTCTGATTATTTTATAATTACAGCCAATCAGTCAACGGGGCCATACGCGGTGGGAACACCATATTCGTACTGTAGTTCATGCTTTGAGATTCAGCTCAGAGCCATAATGTAAGTTAACTTAGGCATACGAACTATATTTACATATTATTGTACATACAGAACTAACATATATATTACGAGTTTTAATGCAACAGGAAACGAGTTGAAACTCATATTTTCACTACTTAACGTACTATATCTTCACTTCATGCTCAGTTTATGTACCTTATGTCTCCACAATCATGAGTTTATCAGAATGCACGACAACCATAGCTTATTATATTTCAAGCATTCTGGGCTTCTAGTTATGAACACCAGTACCCTTAACAGAAATTGTTTATTCTCTTTTAGTGATTCTCGTGATTCTCCTATCGTTGAATTTGTTTGCCGTTTGTGCATACTGTTAATCTAAATTGTCACTCCATTCGACAGCAACAAGTTATCATATAATACGTTAGGCGGTATTAAATCTAATCTAACCTCATGCCATCTCTTAAGGGTTCCATATGTGAACTGTACGTAAGTCAGTCTATTCTGAAATTATTCGACGTGGTCGTATCATCATTTACATTATGCCACGTGATGCAACTTAGGAGCATGCTATTATTCCACTTCTTCAGTTTCATGGTCCAATCTATGAGTAGCCAATTATCACTTGGTAGCCTATTACCCTCTTAAACACCAACTACAACGTTTGAAATCACCGAATGTTCAGGGCACCGGGTGTGCACCATACAGACATTGTGCTCAGTGATGCAATATATTCACGGCCATTACCCTCAAACTCCGGCTTGCAATCAGGACACATAACGCCTTCAGGGAGGAGCGATTTCCGGGCTAGCACGACAGGCCATCATCGTGCATGAACGTGCCTTTTCCTGAACTCCAACCGAACTCTATAAACGTTATCTTCTACAATTTACGCATGATATGCGTGATGAACGACTGGACAAATTTATTGTGCAGGACACGGTTGTAAGAACTTTATATATATCAACGACACTACAAATTTATTGTGCAGGGCACGGTCGTAAGAACTATTATATTTATATACGACACTACAAATTTATTGTGCAGGGCACGGCTGTAAGAACTACTATATATATCAAAGTACTCAGTCCAGAATACGCCTAACCAGGATCAATCCCGGATCGATTGCGTTTATCGTATGTACAGCCCTCGACCACCACGCTGTACGACACGCAGGAGTCTCTCAGTGATATCCCATAATGAACATTATATCCAGGCGTAAATCCATGAACAATACTAGGACAATTCGTAATGTCCAGTGTGTATAACCAACGATCATCCAGTTATACGCCACACAGCCGTCCGACAACTTACATCCTCTGCCACAACTAGTTATACGGAACTCTGACACTTACGTCGTTGTGCATTCCGAGCTCGACGCTATCCATCTGGCGAGTGACTGTCGTCCTATCCCCATTACCACACCGTTCCGGTCCAAATACTGTGTCAGCTAGAACTTTACTCATTTGCCATCATGGGTAACATATACGCAGACCACTATCCCTAGTACTGGCTATCAATTATTCCAGAACTGCTCAATGGACTATTCTAATCTGCAATTATTTCTGTTGCATCACGGGGGCTAGTTTTCAATAATAGTATTCACATACTTTACTATTGCTCAATAACAGTGTTCACATACTTTACTGTTGCTCAATGATAGAGTTCACATACTTTACTATTGTTCAATAACAGTGTTCACATACTTTACTGTTACTCAATAATAGAGTTCACATACTTTACTGTTATTCAATAATAGTGTTCACATACTTTACTGTTGCTCAATTACAGTGTTCACATACTTTACTGTTATCTAATAATAGTGTTCACATACTTTACTGTTGCTCAATAATAGAGTTCGCATACTTTACTAATGCTCAATGATAGTGTTCACACATTTTACTGTTGCTATATATATATATATATATATCCATTGTATTTTATTTGTATATTACCAGAGGTACATGCTGTCTAATATTCCGTAAGGTTATACCATTGAATATCCCACGGGGCTTAGCTTATATAAAGATGGCTGCACCCGAGCCCAGTATTTTCTTCTGAATCCAAACCTATTAACACGCCAACTTTGTCTGGAAATTTGTTCCAATCATCTTGGCCCATGGTTTATTCAATGGAATAAAAAAAAAATAACAACTTATTCGCAAGATGAATAAGCTGTAATTATGGAATGTCTCTAAAACTATACATCCATTTCATATATATATACTATTACCGGTCACATTCCATTTAATACCATAGGTGTCCACCTCTCTTGGGTCATCTCATGCGCTCCTTGCACACGGGGCCGTGTGCCACCAACGGGGGGGCGTATGTTATGACTCAAGGGAACAGACACAATCATAAAAAACCATAACAGTTATTTACATACATAATTAATTATTAACCCTGTACTGCCTGAACCTATGACCCCTCTTGCACTATGACATTGAATATTCATTTTACTTACCGTTGACCTAACATCTTAAACATTCATAAGGCACTGGCCATTTACAATAAAATATATAAGGAACGGGAACTGGTCTCTGGGGAGTTCTCGAGGTAGCCAGGCAGTACAGGGATCTAATCTGTATATTGATATCACATTAATTTTACAACGAAATAAAAAGATAAATAAAGAGATAGAAATTATTTATTGATTTAAATCCTGAGTTGGTTGATAAGTATTTCGAGTAGGAAACAAGATTGTAATTACCAAAAAGTGATTACAACATATGCATAGAAGAAAATATATTGTCTCCGTTGTATTTTTGGCGGCCATTTTGAAAAATGTGAATATTTCCAATATAAAGCGCCATCTGGCGTGTGTCTTTGGATAAATTTGATTCTATGGTCCTAAGGTACTCTCATGTCAAAGGAAACGTTTGCATCATAGATTGAAGTCCAGACCCCCTAAAATGCAGTTAACCCATCTACTAGACAGGTATAAGGCAATAAAGCAAACAAGAGACTTACTTTCTTGGCTGTATACCAAATCGAACAGCAAAAGGAGGTAGAATGCAGTGGAGACATCCATTATAGCCCTCACCCCTCAGCACAATAGCGTTAGATTCTTTATGTTTTCCTCAAATCATTAGACTTCTAACTGCATTATGGCCATGACTGAAAACATAAATGTACACCTCTGGAATATGAAGCGTTATTCGAAAATTTTGAACCGTCATATTTGTTTACCGATTTGGACCAATCAGGATGGTATGTCATCTCAATACTAGTGGAACAAGCAAGAACGTCTATCTCCTAAAGAGATAGACGTCCTTGGAACAAGTAAGTTTTTCAAACATTTTGCTGTTTATTCAGTATCACACCGGATGCTTGATTATGATCAAGAATAGAGTTAATTTGTTATAAAAAGACTGTAGAAAACAATGGTGCAGGTTTTATAAGGAGTAGTATTATGATAGTAGAGATATCGGACTTTCAAAAACCGGAAGTGAAATTATATCCATTTTTTTCAAGAAGCCTTTGTATTTCTTTAGGATGTATTTCCTAAAAAAAATTCTGCCATCTTTGGATGGAAGGAAGGTGATATATGATGCCGTGATGGGCAAACTTACCACTGGCGGATCTGGGGGGCCCTTGGATGGGCCCAGGAAAAAAAATTCGGCCCAAAAAAAAAATGTTTGAGCCAAAAAAGGCCTTGTGGCCCCAAAAAGTGGGCCTTTTTGGTCATAAATGGGCCTTCTAAGGCATTTTTTTTAATTTTAGGCCAAATTTTGAAGAAAATTTCAAAATTTGAGCCCACATTTTGGTTTTAGGGGCCCAAAATTTTTTTACGCGCAAGCGCAGAATTTTTTTTTAAGACCAGAAGTTTGCCCCCCCCCTGTTGCAGGGCTGTCAACTTGGGACCACCTAATATAAGTGACTTACAAATGTTGGACACCTAAGTCCAAATCTGAACACTTTTGACCAAATTTTGAACACCTTTGGCCAACTTTTAAACACCTTTGGCCAAAGTTTGAGCACCTTTGCCAAACTTTGATCACCTCAAATTTTTCGCACTCACTACGCTCGCGGTGTTGTCAACGGGGGGGGGGGGGGGGGGGGGGGGGGGGGGTAGGTACGAAAATTTCCAATGAACATGCATGACATATACGGGATTCGCGTGACAAATCCGGACAAATTGCGTTCGGTTTTTTTTCCGACGTTTGTATTTTTACCGTATCGTAAACATATTTTGAAAAATTTTCTACAGAAATATTTTTGCTTGACAATTACCAGGTAAAATGCGTATTTGCGTGACATTTTCTGTCACGCAAAAAAAACTGGCGTGACTTCAAATTCTTCAGCAAATGCGCGACAAATACGCAAATTGCGGGACAGTTGACAGGCCTGTTGTTGGTTCCCAGATCCGCCCCTGTTACGAGTGACAACTTACACTTCCTCCGAGTGTACCCCTAGTAGAACCTCAGGCATATGAATTTTTGTCACGATGCCAATGTGTAGAACATGGAAACGTGCAAACCTCTGAGTGATTGCGCTGAATCTGCAAAACCTTCGCATTAAAATTCCCGCTGCGTCTTGTTACGTAGCTCGGACTGAATAACATGACAAGAAATATGTGGCGTGTCACTGAAAAAATCTCACAAGGAAGTGAATCATGTTTTGATAAGTTTACTGACAATATCTCTATTTCGTTGCTGTATATGACACAGACGCTCGTGTCATACCATTGTTCATGACCCAGCCATCACGAATAACCAAGGTAAATGTTCTGATCTAAAGCACAATTCGAGGTAATTTTGTAAAAGTAGCATTGGACAACCATTTTTTTAAATTAACCCAACCCCATTAAACTATATATTTTCTGAAAGCTTGGAGTTTCAATAAAAAGAAAATCTATAACCTAAATTTTTAGAAAATGCATACTGGCCGTGGCACCCATTTAAAGTAGGTCACCCTCAGGGGGTCCAAAAATCGTTTTTGCTAAAAACTGACCCCAACTTTGAAATTTAATTAAAAATTAACAATAAGGTTTATCTTATCATACCTTATATTTTCTTGTAACTCTAACTTTTATTTAACCAAACAAAAAAAATGAAGGTCTAATATAAGTTCATATTTTCGTAAATTAGAGTCACAGAGTATCTCCCATGGGCGTTTTTTGTATTTTTTTTTTAATAAACATTTGCAATGTATGTCTCTTTCATTTGGATCAATGGAGAACATTAGTACAAATATTTTTTTATTACTTGAGTAATATTCTTTCCATGTATACAAATAGTGTATCTATAAGCTGACACTACATGTATATCACTAAATTGTTTACCATAATATATAATATACATATGTCCATATGTACATGTATTATAGTTTTCAAAAGTCTTGAGAGACCAAAATAAAACTTTCCAAGTCGTTAAAACAAGCATGCTGCATTTAGAGATCAATGGTATGAGACATCAAGTGATTAGTGGTATGGGACATCAACTAACCAATAGTATGGGGCATCAAGTGATCAATGGTATGGGACATCAAGTGATCAACAGTATGGAACATCAAGTGATCAACAGTACTGGATATCAAGTAATCAACAGTCTTGGACAATCAATAGTAATTAATAAGTATTAGGGAATAAAATAATTAACAGTGTGGGAAATCAAGTGATCAATGGTATGGGGTAGTAAGTGTTAAATAGTATGGGACATCAAATGATCAATAGTATGGGACATCAAGTGATCAACAGTATGGGACATCAATTGATCAATAGTATATCAAAGGAATCAACAGTGTGGGACATCAAGTGATCAATAGTGTGGGACATCAAGTGGTCAATAGTATGGTATACATGTATCAAATGATCAATAGTATGGGACATCAAGTGATCATTAGTATGGGTCATCAATGATAAACTTTTACATTATGGGGCATCAAGGGAGGTGAGACTGCAAGTAGTCAAAGTGATTATCTGATGATAATAGATTGGGGCACCTGTAATTACTGAATTATGCATTGGTAATTGTCAAATAATCATACCAACCTATCCACATCGATCCATGTGCTTGATAACAACAACAAACTAATCACGTGACAATAACAATCTTTTAATCTGTGTCTAATAAGTCCAAATTCAACGGACATCGTATGAAGAAGTTTTCAATAGCATATTTGATTTCATAAATATACATTTATTTGAAGTAACAACCATAATTGAACACAGATTAACCAAAATTAACGATTTTATTTTTGCGCAAGACACGCGACCCCGGAAGATAAATATGGCCGCCATCTTGCATGAGAATCGGAAGATTACACCAGCCACTTTAAAAGTTGAATTTCTACATTTGCGCATATATATATCAGTGTAAGTTTTAATTTTTTACGATCTCAAGACTTTAAACTTTACAAATAACTGCTTAATCAAAGCGACCAAAAATTATTAAGGGTATAATTAAATGATTTAAACTTTACCTCGTGAAGTTCGTCCTCGCCAAAAACGATTTTCTTCTATTCTTCAGAATGCGCGAAGACTTCATTCAATTATTAAACAGATTTTATAAAGAAATAACAGCAATTCGACTTTTAACATAGTTAAAATGAGCGACCAAAATTGCATATAAAAGCGGGGTCAATTTTTTAGTGAATAAAATTTCCCGCGAAAACGCGCCATCTATTCGTTGTCCATTGCTAGTAAAAGTTCAATTTTTATGTAAAAATTTCGATGAAAAATTCTAAGCTCAAACTTTGTATTTGTAGGTTTCGAGTTTGAGCTAATCTAATAATTAAATAATTTAAATCTAGATTTACAACGTTTATTTGCTTCAATAATTCTGCATTGAATATGCAAAAGAATGTACAAGCTGATGATGACAGACGGGCTTTGATGTCGCTCGCAATACATTGCGATATTCATGCATCGATGCCTGAAACAAAACATTGGGCGGCCAAACCAAAATAGATCTAATGACTTCACGATTATCACTATGCGACGGTGATTAAAAAATCTCAACATATGTCCAGAATCCCCACTTCCCGGATAGATTTGAGACATGTGGCTAGGCTACATTAAAATGAAATGAAATGAAATTGATGCAATTATCACTGGTTTTGTGGTATTACAATGTTTTTGTTGCGATTTTTTGAGACGCGCTGTATTTGGTCCTTATATTAGTAATTATACAAAACAAGTAAATAATCTAAATGTTGCATGTCACTGTTTATTCTGATTTAATTTCTGACAGACATCAACATATTACCTTATCAACAAATAAACAAAAATGAAATTAAATGAAATGAAATTGATGTAATTATCACTGGTTTTGTGGTATTACAATGTTTTGTTTTTGCGATTTTTTGAGACGCACTGTATTTTGCATGGTCCTTATATATTGAAGTGAAATTTTCACAGGATTATTTTGTGTCTCATTTTTAGGCATCATGTTTAGCAGCAAGAATTGCAACTATACCAAATTGAAGACAAACCTACGTCTTGTGATACAACGACTCAAATTATTAGAAAAGAAAAAAAGTAAGTTATCATTGATTATCATAACAGATATAGTATTTATGGCAAACTGAATACTCTAGTCTAGTGGCAGCTTTGAAAACAAAGTTCTAAAATTTTACTTTATTTCTGAAGGGGGGGGGGTGTTTTGATAGCATAGTTTGCACTTTGAGCCTTTGCTCCTAGTGATGGGCATTATTCATGATCCCAGGATCACAAATCACAATTTTGAGATTACTGAAATAGGAAATTGGAAATAATTCTGAAATTGGGTCAAAATTTAATCAACATTTATAAAACAATTATTGTGGGATGCGAATTCTAAATATTCAAAAAAATCTGCAAAATGTTAAGGTGGATGTTGTACACATTGTCTTTAAAAAATATAGAAAAATATTCATCACCCCTGGAAATTTTTGTATGTTTGATGTACACCATCCATGAAAACCACCAAAATTTTCTGTCCTGTGACCAGGATTTGACCAGTGATAAAATGGATAGCCTGACAGTGCTATTCATAATATAATGATACAAATCTTTGTTTCAGCTGAGCTTGCTCTGAAGGGGAGGAAAGAGATAGCTGATTATATTTCAGCAAACAAAGATGACAGAGCAAGAATCAGGGTATGTACATGTATGCTATTTGAGAACACAAAAAAGCATTAGTCATAACTAGAGTCTAGTTATGTCCCCACCAGAAGTCATCTCCAACTTTTTTGTGATGGTGTTCAGCGGTTGGCATTTGGAATTTGGTGTCTGTAACAAATGGCAGGTGGTGACATTTTGCATGTTTAAATTGCTGTGTTTTTGGTCTGGTTGGATAATCAGACATTTGAATCCTGAATGCTTAAATTCTCATATAAAATAATTGAAACTTAGTCAATGAAGGCAAAATTTCTAATGATTTGAATGGCCAATGTGATGTGAATATATCGAGCACTTTGACACCATGGGTTTCTTTTAAAGATCAATAGTACTACGATACATCTGGATTTTGGGTACAGTATTTTCCCAGGAATATAACCTGTAACATGTAAAAACATGTAGCTTTAAACCTCCCAATGAACTTGTAGGTAGAGCACATAGTACGTGAAGACTACTTGGTGGAAGCCCTGGAAATATTGGAGATGTACTGTGATTTGTTACTTGCTAGATTTGGACTCATTGAGAGAATGAAGTAAGTCTGTCTTATATATCAACATTCCCATCCCAACCCTCACCTCAAACCCTTACTTCCAATTTTCTGTTAACACCCTCATTCCCTTAGCTAACCCCCCACCCCCCCCCCCCCTCTCTGTGATTTGTTACTTGCTAGATTTGGACTCATTGAGAGAATGAAGTAATAGGTAGTAAGCTAGCACCCAAAAATGTATTAGTTCGTGAACAAATTGAAATTACTTGTTTCTTATGTATTTTTATGTGATATTTCAGAAAATGTTTGTCTGACGCGCCGTATCCGGGGCGAAAGTTGTCAAATTGGCGTTTTCGACCCTAAAATGGAAAATTACAGGGGGTACTTTATCATCACTCGATAAATCATTCTGTTAGTCTTCAATCATCATAATAATTTTATGGGGAGTTGATTGGATCATGCTGAGGTAGTATGTAAAATTCCAATGCTCTGTCACTCATGGTTGTCATGGAAACCACAATTTTCATTCAAAATATCCTTAATTTTGCAAAACCTGAACATGTACATCATGTAGAATATGGATTATTTTTCGAATCAATACATATCAGCACATTTTAGCAACCTCAAAATAACCAGTACAGTTTAAACATTTGTTTAAATGTAAAGGATATTGCAATTTACATGATTGGTCAGTGTCAAAGAACATACAATTACATGAGTGATCAAAAGTGTGCGTCGCCCCCATAATAGTAGATGATTGCTATACTCTATAAAAACAGAGTTTAACTTGACTTTTGAGATACATTTACACTAGACTTATTTGATTATATTTTATATCAAGCATTTCTGGTAAATAATGTACATCTAAGTGTCATAGTTATTGCATGGGGGGGGGTACAGAGGGGGGCTAGTAAAAGAATTGGGAGGAGGCAGAGCTAATCAGCCTTAAGTATAAATCTCATCTAAATATATCTGGATTTCATGGGGTACATCTTCTGCATGGGTCTTCTTCATATTCATCTCAGTATATGGGATATTACAACTTACATGATTGGTCAGTGTCAAAGAACATACAATTACACAAGTAATCAAAAGTGGGCGTCGCCCCCATACTAGAGTAGATGATTGCTATTCTCTATAAAAAACAGAGTTAAACTTGACTTGAGATACATTTACATTGGACTTCTTTGATTATACTTTATATTTTCTGGTAAATAATGTACAACTCAGTGCAATGGTTATTGCATGAGGAGGGGTGAGGTTAGTAACAGAATTGGGAGGGGGCAGAGTTAATCCGAGCCTTAGGAATAAATTCTTTCTTTTGGACTTCTTCATAGAGTATTTTCTGGGTCTTCTTAGTTATCTCAATATACTGTATATAGTTATTGTATGGGATGGGGGTAGTAACAGAATTGGGAGGGGTGGGGGGAACAAGTCAGCATTAAGTATCAATTTCATCTTCAGAGTTCTGGATTTCATAAGATACATCTTCTGGAGTCTTTCTGATTCATCTCCTGGTGCTATATCAACAATCATTTGTCTGAGAATACCAGTCAATACCCAATGCAATGGTGGAGTCATTCAGTTTCCATCCATGTCCATCTTCTGCTGGAATGTCAGGGTTTACAATATGGGCCATATGCACGATAAGTGCTTTGTAGTAAGCTCTTGACAAGGTGGAAGAAGACTGATGTCGGTTCCTTCATAGTCTTTGATTGTTTTATCTAAACTTCTATTTCAATTGGTTTATGTGGTTTTGCTGGTGTAAGACATTGTGGCTTAACATAAATGTTTTTTTATTATATTAATCGGTCTTCTTTTGTTTGCAGTCCAGCACTACACTTTGCTGTATTCTGTGCTTATCCTAACACATTGATTGAAGGACTTATATCTGAAAGATATGTAATCTTTAAAATGCACATGAGAGATGGATTGAAAATGTGTTTATTCCTTGTGACAATATTACTCTCTGGGCCCATATGGGCCCTAAGGAAATATCATACTAAATTTCATGGATTCTCTGATTGGTTGTTTTGTTTCTGGAGCTGGCAGAAAATACATGTTTTTCAAGATACTTCTAACAGCAGAGTGATTATGTGATAATTAAATCCAAAATTCTATACACGAACCTGATAGGAGAAGAAGTGGGTGGTGGCACATCACCTTATCAAATGTAGAAATACATGAGTCCCTTAAGATTGGAATGAGTTCATGAATAAGGATGCAAACAAGAAGCAACTATACCAGTTACACTTAATTGAATAAGACCAGAATATGCCAAGAAAAAATCTACTGTGTAGCAGGTGGGAAATGCCATATCCTTTCTAGTGATCATCATGATAAACCATGAAATTTTATTTCTTCCCAGCACTTCAGGTGAGACAGAAAGATGCTATGAGTATCAGAATGTCTAGTTATGGCAATACAATAACAACTATAGATGAGCCTTCTCATAGTCTGATCATTTTCATTCTTGTGATTTATCGCATGATATTGATATATCAACAATCTCTCAAGAGAAAATACCACTAAACACTTGCAGATTTGAGAGTCATTCAGCTGGGACTCAATATGGTGCTCCATCTTTTTAAAATGTGCTATCCTGCCCCTTCAAAGCCTGGCACTTACTTCATCTAGCGAAGGTATGAAGGCTGCATATATTACGCCAGGCCCTAGATGGGAGTAGTAACAGAATAATTGGGAGGGAGTAGAGCTCCCTCCTAGGTCTGAAACCACTTCCCCACCCTAACCTCATGTAAAAACTATACTACTAAACATATTTATGAGAAATGGTTTATATAAATTATATTTGAACATGACTGTATTCACGCCTTCTATAAACTGTGAACAAAGTCAACATTTTACCCGGGGTATATATGTCAACACTACCCTTGGTAATACGAGTAATGTGTGACATCAAGAGGGCTGTAGTAATGGCAGACCATAAGTTGAATATTCGAAAAATTTTGGGGAGTTTTCATGTTTGAATTGTAATATATACCTCAGAGCAGGTGTGATATTGACAATAACCCCTTAGGGCTAGGTACAAAAGCTTTCGAACCCCTCACTCCCTTGCATAGCCATGTGGAGTGTATTTGTCAATACAACACCTGCTCTTCAGTCTATATTTCTTAAATAATAGAAGTATAGATGACGTATAGATGACAGTGATCTTCCAAGCATTAAAGCAAGTGGGCGCAGTACCCACCTGAGATTTTGAAAATAGGTTTGCACCCACCTGAAAATCCATATGCACCCACTTGAAAGTTAGAGAAATCATGAAAAATTGGCATATTTTGACCAATTTTGGTCTAAATTGTGAAAATGAAAATTTTGTACTCACCTAAGAAGAAATCCTGGGGAGATCACTGGATGATTTTAAAACTCAAGTTGACCTCTGTTTGTAAAGAATGAACCATATACTGTTGTTGGGGAGATTCCCACTTTTGATCACTTATGTAATTGTTTGGTTTTGGATACTACCTATCATGTTTATTGTAATATTCTATATATTGAGATGAATATGAGACCTACAAGATGTATATGTTCCTTAGTAAATCCAGAACGAAGTATTATGAGCCCCCTTCCAGTTTCTATTACTACCCCCCCCCCTCTCTCTCTCAACCTGCCTCTCATGCAATAACTATTAAACTCAGATGTCACTGGTCACTATCAAACGATGGTATATGCCATATAAGCCTGGTTTAGTTCAAATATCAAAGTATTACATCGACTATAAAGTAGTTTAAGTCAATGAAAACTATAAATATCTTCTCAACTGACACCAGTGAGATGTACATTATTTACCTGAAATGGTTGATATTAAGTATAATCAAAGAAGTATAAATGATAAATATATATATATATACATGTATCTTGAAAATTCTACTTAAATTATGTATTTATAGAGAATGGAAATCATCTACTATTATGAAGGTGATGATGCCTACTTTTGATCACTTATGTAATGGTATGGTCTTTGACACCAATCATGTAAAATGTAGTACCTATATATTGTAATGAAAATGAAGAAGACCCAGAAGATGTAACCTCTGAATAGAATTATATAAATGAGAATTATACTAAGGCTGATTAGCTCTGCCCCCTCCAAATTCTGTTACTACCACCCCCCCCCCCCCCCTCCGCTCCCCACGCAACAACTTTTACACTTATATGTACATTATTTACCAGAAATGCATGATATTAAGTATATTTAAAGAACTTCAATATAAATGTATCGCAAAAGTCAAGTTAAACTCTGTCTTTTCAGAGAATGGTAATCATTTACTATTATGGGGGCGACGCCCACTTTTGATCACTTATGTAGTAGTATGGTCTTTGACACTTACCAATTATATAAATTGCAATATCCTTTATGCTTACACAAATGCTTGAACTTCCCTGGCCATTTTTGGTGTGCTAAAATATTCTTATATCTGTTGATTTGAAAAATAATCCTCATTCTATATGATGTCCCTTTACAGGTTTGGCCAAAATTAAGGATTTTTCAATGAAAATTGTGGTTTCCATGGCAACCATGAGTGACAGGTGATTGAACCTTAACATACTACCTCAGCATGATCCAATCAACTCCCCATAAAATTATTATGATGATTGAAGACCAACTGAAGGATTTATTCAATGATGATAAAGTACCCCCTGTAATTTTCCATTTTAGGGTCGAAAACGCCAATTTGACAACTTTCGCCCCGGATATGGCGCGTCAGACAAACATTTTCTTAAGTATCACATAAAAATACATAAGAAACAAGTAATTTCAATTTGTTCACGAACTAATACATTTTTGGGTGCTAGCTTACTACCTATAAGTCTGTCTTATATATTCACATTCCCAACCCTCACCTTAAACCCTTACTTCCAACTTTCTGTTAACACCTCACTCCCCTCAGCTAAACCCCCCCCCCATCTCTGTGATTTGTTACGTGCTAGATTTGGACCCATTGAAAGAATGAAGTGAGTCTGTCTTATATGTTAACATTCCCATCCCTCACCTCAAACCCTTACTTTCAACTTTCTGTAAACACCCTCACTACGCTCACCTAACCACCCCCTCGCCTAGCCTAGCCTGTTACTTGCTAGATTGGACTCATTGAGAGAATGAAGTAAGTCTGTCTTATATTAATATTCCCATCCCTCACCTCTAACCCTTACTTCCAACTTTCTGTTAACACCCTCACTCCCCTCGCCTTACCACCCCCTTGCCTAACCCCCCCCCTCGTCTACCCCCCCCCCCCTCTCCCCCCTCTTCATTTACCAAAGTAATCTTGAATAATAGGTTGTTAATAAATCTTATTCTCACCTCATTCTATTAAAATCATTACCTTCTGTTTCAGCTTTTTCAATAAGATCTCTCATTTCAAATGAATCCATATTCCTTTCAACTTGTAGTCATTTCGAGGAATCTTGATTTGATGTAAATTTTGTTATGAACTTGGAGATAATTTTTCCCTAATCATTACTTACTCTTACAGTGCCTACTTAATGTGACCAGATCAACAGTGATGTCGATATATTAGAAATTATCAGTTAATGCGTATCGAAACTTTAATTTCCAATGTGCCCATCAGGGAATTTATTGTAACTGTGAATTTGTGTTGTTTTCACATAGAGAACTGGATCCAGGGCTAGAAGAAGCGGTTGCTACATTGTTGTGGGCATCACCACGGTTGCAAACAGATATTCAGGAGTTCAAAGAAGTAGGTCATCACTAAATAACTATTTCATATTCCATTGCACAATCATTTTCATGTCACTACTGTATAAGTGCTGACATTTTGTTATGGTGTTTGGCTGTTGGTGTTTGGAGGTTGATGATTGGTGTTCGGTGTCTGTTACAAATGGCAGGTGAAGACGTTTTGCATGTTAATGCCTTGTTTATGTTTTACATTTTAATTGTATTAAAACATTAAGTGGAGTTTGTGTTACTTAATCCTGTAAGATAAACCTAATATCCATCCCTGTTATAGGATAAACGTTTTATCCCTCACATTTCCAGATCTCTAGGCAACTCACAGGTAAATACAGCAAGGAGTTTGCTGAAGCCTGCAGCCGAAATACCATGGAGAACGTAAATGAAGTGGTAAGTTTATTAAATCCTGCAATCCCAAAAAGTATTTAATAGCAATATTTAATCATTTTGTACCCCATTTTTACAAATTTACAAAATTACAAAATATTGATACGTAATAAGAAAAATGTTAAATGGATAAAAGTAAATTCTTGCATTTTTTTCGATGAAAGTTTTCATTTCAAGTTATACAAGTTTTCGCGATGTTACACAAATTTTTCTATTTTTTCAAATTACATAATTTTCATTATTTCAAAGTTAAAATTTCCATTTGCTGTTACAAGACTAATTTCAAAGGTGTTAAACACCATTTTAAACCGCCTTTTAAACACCATGAATTAGTCTTTTCAGTCTGAAATACATGTATAAGGAACATATATTAATGCAAATGTTTTTTTTCTTAGGTGATGCGCAAAATGAGCATACATGCTCCACCAAAAATGCTGATAGAATCTTACATGTGTGAAATAGCCAAGAGTTACAATGTACCATTTGAACCAGACCCTTCAGCAATGACAGTAAGTACATTATGTATCATTTGAACCAGACCCTTCAGCAATGACAGTAAATACATTATGTATCATTTGAACCAGACCCTTCAGCAATGACAGTAAGTACATTATATACCATTTGAACCAGACCCTTCAGCAATGACAGTAAATACATTATATACCATTTGAACCAGACCCTTCAGCAATGACAGTAAGTACATTATATACCATTTGAACCAGACCCTTCAGCAATGACAGTAAATACATTATATACCATTTGAACCAGACCCTTCAGCAATGACAGTAAATACATTATATACCATATGAACCAGACCTTTCAGCAATGACAGTAAGTACATTATTTACCATTTGAACCAGACCCTTCAGCAATGACAGTAAGTACATTATGTACCATTTGAACCAGACCCTTCAGCAATGACAGTAAGTACATAATGTACCATTTGAACCAGACCTTTCAGCAATGACAGTAAGTACATAATGTGCCATTTGAACCAGACCCTTCAGCAATGACAGTAAGTACATTATGTATCATTTGAACCAGACCCTTCAGCAATGACAGTAAGTACATTATGTACCATTTGAACCAGACCCTTCAGCAATGACAGTAAGTACATAATGTACCATTTGAACCAGACCCTTCAGCAATGACAGTAAGTACATTATGTATCATTTGAACCAGACCCTTCAGCAATGACAGTAAGTACATTATGTATCATTTGAACTAGACCCTTCAGCAATGACAGTAAGTACATTATGTACCATTCATACCAGACCCTTCAGCAATGACAGTAAGTACATTATGTACCATTTGAACCAGACCCTTCAGGAATGACAGTAAGTACATTATGTACCATTTGAACCAGACCCTTCAGCAATGACAGTAATTTCATTATGTGCCATTTGAACCAGACCCTTCATCAATGACAGTAAGTACATTATGTACCATATGAACCAGACCTTTCAGCAATGACAGTAAGTACATTATGTACCATTTGAACCAGACCCTTCAGCAATGACAGTAAGTACATTATGTACCATTTGAACCAGACCCTTCAGCAATGACAGTAAGTACATTATGTACCATTTGAACCAGACCCTTCAGCAATGACAGTAAGTACATTATGTACCATTTGAACCAGACCCTTCAGCAATGACAGTAAGTACATTATGTACCATATGAACCAGACCTTTCAGCAATGACAGTTAGTACATTATGTACCATATGAACCAGACCTTTCAGCAATGACAGTAAGTACATTATGTACCATTTGAACCAGACCCTTCAGCAATAACAGTAAGTGCATTATGTACCATTTGAACCAGACCCTTCAGCAATGACAGTAAGTACATTATGTACCATTCGAACCAGACCCTTTAGCAGTGACAGTAAGTACATTATGTACCATTCGAACCAGACCCTTCAGCAATGACAGTAAGTACATTATGTACCATTTGAACCAGACCCTTCAGCAATGACAGTAAATACATTATGTACCATTCGAACCAGACCCTTCAGCAATGACAGTAAGTACATTATGTACCATTTGAACCAGACCCTTCAGCAATGACAGTAAGTACATTATGTACCATTTGAACCAGACCCTTCAGCAATGACAGTAAATACATTATGTACCATTCGAACCAGACCCTTCAGCAATGACAGTAAGTACATTATGTACCATTTGAACCAGACCCTTCAGCAATGACAGTAAATACATTATGTACCATTTGAACCAGACCCTTCAGCAATGACAGTAAGTACATTATGTACCATTTGAACCAGACCCTTCAGCAATGACAGTAAGTACATTATGTACCATATGAACCAGACCTTTCAGCAATGACAGTTAGTACATTATGTACCATATGAACCAGACCCTTTAGCAATGACAGTAAGTACATTATGTACCATTCGAACCAGACCCTTCAGCAATGACAGTAAGTACATTATGTACCATTCGAACCAGACCCTTCAGCAATGACAGTAAGTACATTATGTACCATTTGAACCAGACCCTTCAGCAATGACAGTAAGTACATTATGTACCATTCGAACCAGACCCTTCAGCAATGACAGTAAGTACATTATGTACCATTCGAACCAGACCCTTCAGCAATGACAGTAAGTACATTATGTACCATTCGAACCAGACCCTTCAGCAATGACAGTAAGTACATTATGTACCATTCGAACCAGACCCTTCAGCAATGACAGTAAGTACATTATGTACCATTTGAACCAGACCCTTCAGCAATGACAGTAAGTACATTATGTACCATTCGAACCAGACCCTTCAGCAATGACAGTAAGTACATTATGTACCATTTGAACCAGACCCTTCAGCAGTGACAGTAAGTACATTATGTATCATTTGAACCAGACCCTTCAGCAGTGACAGTAAGTACATTATGTATCATTTGAACCAGACCCTTCAGCAATGACAGTAAGTACATTATGAACCATTTGAACCAGACCCTTCAGCAATGACAGTAAGTACATTATGTACCATTTGAACCAGACCCTTCAGCAATGACAGTAAGTACATTATGTACCATTCGAACCAGACCCTTCAGCAATGACAGTAAGTACATTATGTACCGTTTGAACCAGACCCTTCAGCAATGACAGTAAGTACATTATGTACCATTTGAACCAGACCCTTCAGCAATGACAGTAAGTACATTATGTACCATTTGAACCAGACCCTTCAGCAATGACAGTAAGTACATTGAGAACACAGGTCCTGCTGGATACAAGTCTTGCTATTGCTGAATAAAATATTGCGCATGGGTAGCATATGGTCCCCTAGCTAGGCTAGTTAAAAATAAAATTTCTTGCAGTTTGAATATCTAAATATGATACTGAGAATTGTACATGCATATTCCTCTTTCTGAGTGCATGTACCAATTACAAATATTACCATCATTAAAACTAAAGTATACAAAAGAGGACATTTAAATCTACAATATGTAAAAATATGAAAATCTTTGGCGACATTCATAAAAAAAAATCTACTATAGGACTTAAGTTTCAGTATTTATTTGAAAAAATGCCTCAGCAAGCTGCCCAATTCGTTAAACTTTTGCTATTTTAAAAAAAGAACTGTAATTTGGTTTATTATTTATAAAGTATCTTAACTTCAGGTGGTTGATAAGCCCAAGTGGGCTGTGTTGTTATTTTATTACTTTTCTTTCGTATTGTACTGAATTAACTGATGTAAACCTACCACTGTAAATAACAATAAAACTATACTTAATCAACCCATTTTTATAAACCATTAACTATAAAATGATGTGTAGAATAAAAGCAGAAACAGAAAAGCATTATGACATTTCTTACCTTTCAAAAAACCAAACATTTCTTACCTTTCAGGACAATAGTGCAATTTTGGCCACAGACTTACTTATCGATTTCAACAGTGATGACAAAAACAATGGTCCTGGTGGCGGTGCAGGTGGCGGTGGTGGTGGCGGAGGAAGACTCCAACCTATGGCACCAAACAATGCAGGGCCACTACCCGGGAAAGCCCCTCTACCCCCTGGTCCAATGCCAGCAGGGGCCATGCCCCCAGGAGAACCACTCCCACCTTACAGTCCACCTCAACCTCCTGTGGTATGTACATTTATTTTATGAGTTCAGTCTCAAAACAGGATATGTACTTCTCTCAAACTCAAATAATTAGACTGAAATTTTCTTGAGAATGTATTCTTTATAAAAAATTAGTATTGCTGACCCATTTTATATTTTAAAAACAGAAATTCATAACTTTGAAATACAGATAATTTACAAACAAACAAAAATAACATAGACCAGAGATGTTTCTCTACTCACTTTTCCTTTTTCAGGGTGGTACACCAGATATTCCTCCCTTCCCTATGTCTTACTCTAGGCCCCCTCCACCACTCCCTAGTGTTGGCCCTAACGCCTCATCTCAACTCCCTCAACCCCCTGCTCCTGGTTTCAAAGATTCAAACCCACAGGCTCCTGTGTTTGGAGGAATCCCCGTAGTACCCATGGGATCCCCTGAGAGGCAATCTGAGAACCCCCAAGATTTGGGGCCATCACCAACTGTAAACCTGGATGACATACGACCCCAAGTACCATCTGGACCAGGCCCCCAGCAACCATCAGCTCCACCTAATGATCCATCGAGGGTAAGTACATATATGGGGCAAACAACACTGGGAAAGGGTGGGTATCAAGATATCAATTTACAATACAAAAAATGAAACCATTATCCTCATTTTATGGCATAAAATGTATTTTACTAAAAAGGAACAAAAAAGTGGAAACATGTTACACAGTCGAATACTACTCAAAGCTCCATTTTGGGAAAACTGAATTTCGGAAAAATAACTCACATAGAAAACAGCATTAGGATCTAGAGACTGTTATCGAGGAATGGACATTTTTTAACCAAGGTGTTCTTAGATTATTTTGAATACATTTTAAATATGAATGAATCGTGTGAGAAACAGGTATCTTACACATTTCCTTTGACATTGCAAAAACTTGACATAAAAATTGACAGATCAATAAAATATTGATAATTTGTTGTAATCTTTAATGTGGTCCGATTAAGCTATTTTTCATATCAAAGTAAAGGTTGAGAATCTATGGGAAATACTGTGGCATTGCAAAGAAAGTTTATTTTTGCTATTAAGAACACTAAAAAGTATGCATATACATGTAGTCACTTTAAAGAAATAAGACTACCTATAAGTTTTGAATATTTGTTTTTTATTACAGTTGCCGTCTTATGGATCAGTGATGAGCAACCATACTGAATGTAAGTACGATTAAAAAGTAATAATACAACTTTGGTATACACCACTTGTCCTGCATAACTCTCTTTTACTCATTACTTTTACATGTTTTGCACCCAATTTAATTGATACAAAAGTGACTTCAATCTTTTTTGTAAATATCTTTTTCAAAATCAATTGTGTAAAGATATCGACTTTTATTCGTACATTTTCTTTTATCAGTCAAAAGTACCATGTCTTTGTAACTTATATATAATCAAAAAGTATTGCTTTACAAAATATCACAATTAAACATAATTGAAATGGGATGAATGTTTGTCTCCAATATACAACTTATTAACTGGCAATACCTTGCATATTATATTTGAAATTGTGAATGAAGTGTTCAGTAAGTTCAATATAACTTTCAGATCCTCCCCCTTTATCAAATTTACCACCACCTCCAGCAGGCGGGGTCATAAATTCTATCCCAAATCTCCCAGAAGTCCCCGGCGATCTCCCGGAGCTTAGTTTGCCTGGTGCTGGTGCAAACTCTGCAGGAGGAAATGACGTTGATTTTGATGATTTAACGAGACGATTTGAAGAGTTAAAGAAAAAGAAGTAAAGTGCGAAATTGAGGATGCTTTAAATATGTTGATATTGCGTACATGAATGAAGGACATGTAGAATATGAAGGAATTTTACATGGAAAATGTGTGCAACTATTTATCTTAATGATTTACAACTTTGAGTGCATTCTTCGCAATTTTTATACAATGATAGCTGCAAAAGTTGTCACCATGGTGATAAATGCTATAAATAAATCAAATAGACTGAAGATGCGTCAAACCAGCTGTAATAATTAATGAGAGAATTAAATATATGAACACTTTGTGTCATATAGGAATGTAAGAAAATGGAGTACAGTAGTTTATTCAGACTTAAGAGAAAAAACTGAAATTGTACTAAGAAAGCAGGAAAATGCAAACATTGTAGGAATTGTAGAGATGTGGTTTGAATATGTGAGATATACATATTTCTGTATAAGCTTCATATAATGTATGTATATCAGAGTGCCTCTCACCATTTAAAAGAATATAGAATACTATGTAATAGGGGGATGAGTGCAGTACTGCAGTAGTAGGACTAGGACATTTAAGATAGGGTCTGGTCTATATTATTTCTCTCAAGATGAGTAGCAGGAGAAAGTTGACTGTCAACCCCTGCCTACCTTGAAAAAGGGCTTGTCACCAGATCACTGCAAAGCCGTGTTTCGGTATACGAAAAAAATTTATCAAGAGACATTACACTTATCTGAAATGAAATTATGTTTGCATCCTTATTCTCAATCTATAAGATTGCAAGTGTGAGATTCAATGTACAATAAAGCCAAAGTAAAAACTACTCACTTGAACAATCACTTTGAGACATGTAAACATTAAAATGTTCACATTAAGATGTAAACAATAAAGTGTTCGCATTAAGATGTTAACATTAAACTGTTTGCATTAAGATGTAAACAATAAAGTGTTCGCATTAAGATGTTAACATTAAACTGTTTGCATTAAGATGTTAACACTTAAATGTTCACATGAAGATGTTAACATTAGAATGTTTGCATTAAGATGTTAACACTAAAATGTTCACATTAAGATGTTAACATTAGAATCTTTGCATTAAGATGTTAACACTAAAATGTTCACATTAAGATGTTAACATTAGAATCTTTGCATTAAGATGTTAACACTAAAATGTTCACATTAAGATGTTAACATTAATATTCTGAGCGAGAACATCTGAGATATAAAAACTTCAAACCAAAAAGTGATCATTTTAGAGAGACGTTTAGTTGCTTTATTTGTTTCAAACTATAAACAGATCTTATGTGTGTTATGTATGGAATATATATGATATCTTGTGTGTTATTAATCTGCGATCTTCACTGCAATTGGAATAAATTCCAATATTAATTAAATTAGTGCAATTCAAATTTTTGAAAATTTAAATTGAAGTTGTATGTAAATTAATTTATTCATAAGTCTGTGTGTGTATATATATAATGTATATTTTGTACATAAATGTATGTGTATTGTTTGTATAATTCTATGTTATCTTTAAAGAGATAAAATCTAATTCTTGACATGACACGCTAAACTATGGCGCATTATAATAGACAGCTATAGTAACACACGTGCGTCCTTTTTATATAATGGTAAACTGTCACGACCCTTCCACATTGAGCAAGGTACGGGTCAAGGCCGAGTGATGAGTACCTGGTGGTTCCTTATCTTCATTAATGACCTTATAAAGGAACTCTGTGAATTTTCAACTTCGGGTCTATATGTAGGAAACACTTATATACCAACAATCTTGGTTGCTGATGACACTACCGTGATGTCAACAACAGTAAATGGTTTACAATGCTTATTGGATATCGTGTATAACTACAGTAGCAAATGGCGTCTTGTATACCATGCAGGATCAGACAGCAAGAGTAAAATAATTACATATCCTGAAACAAAGAAGTCAATTTTAAAGAACAAACTCACAAGACAATGGAAATTAGGACCAGACACAATCCCCGAAACAGATCAACACATATATATTGGCAATTTGATGGTGAGTGATCTGAGATCATCGGAACGAACAAAAATAGCTTGTAAAAAAGCCAAACAATCATTCCATGCTCTCAATAAAATTGGAATGAGAAACGGAGCCATGAATCCGCTAGCCTCGGTCAAAATATGGAAAACTGTCATAATCCCCTCTGCACTCTATGGTTCAGAACTATGGGGAAAATTAACCAAGTCTGAACTAAGCAATCTTGAAATAACACAGAAATACGTAGTGAAAACTATCCAGGGATATGGCAAAAGGACTTCATCAGCAATAGTACTAAGTACCCTGGGTCTATGGACAATGGAAGCTCAGATTAACAAAGCCAAATTATCCTTCCTTCACAGATTATGTACGTCAAATCCCAATTCCATCATAAAAACGATTCTACTGATCAGAATAAGTTCTTGGCTATTAAACATCTATGACACACATTTAGGGTTCATACCAGATATTATTGAAGTGTTGTCAAAGTATGAATGTCAAAGTATGAAGTACTTTATGAAATATTCTCAGGCTATCTTCAATCTTTTACATTCCCCTCGAAGGCCAAATGGAAAAACTATGTGAATGCTCAAATCAATATTAACGAAACTGGAAACTGGCAACACTTGCTCTCCAATAATACAAAATTAAACAGATTTGCGCAAATTCAGACTGAACTTAAACCAGCAATACATTGGGTAGCTGGCAGGAAATATCCTCTTAAAACATGGGCATTTGCAATACTTCTACATTTGGCTTCAAGGGAACTTCCAGATGACGATTTCAATACGCAATGTCTGAGGTGCGGTAGAACCACCAATGATACTGTCAAACACATGATAGTAGAATGTCAATTTTTAATTGCATTAAGAAATGAAATGTATGAAAATATTATAAATAGCATCTCTGTGCATCAGTCATGTGAACTCCTAAACAGTGAAGATGACATAATCCTAGAATTTCTCCTTGGAGGACGCTCCGATATTTTGCATACAATTGATGATGCCACATCAATAAAATTGCTTAACATATGTGCAACATACATCAATATGATGATGTACAGATTCACCAACACTTGTTTAGAATAATACTGCACAGGTAGTACAGATCATCTACCTATATTTTTAAAAGAAAGTCACACATCTGTACATACTATGATACTATAAATAGTTTTCTTATTATAATTTTATTTTGATATAATGTAAATTGCTGCTTATTAATGTTGTAAATCTTCATAATGAAGGAAATAAATCAATACAATACATGGTCAGTAGTTAAATTATATCATTGTGCAATTCAAATTACAAAAAATGAATTAGATGCAAATTTTAAATGAAATTGTTAATCCTAAGTCTGTGTATATATACGATGACTTATATTTTGTACATAAATTTATAACTGTATATTGTTTATATAATTCAATGTTATCGTTAAAGATATAAATTCTTATTCTTGACATTTTCCTTAAGACCATTTCCTGGTAGTTATATCAGAGTACAGTTAAACCTGTCAAAGTAAAACACATTTGTTACCTCTAAAATATGTTCCACTTATGAGTGTGTTCCACTTATGCCTGGGTCACATTTGCCCCAATCCATCAGCCGGCGCCCGGCCGATTGAGTGTTTTGCTCAATATTGCAGATTCAACATTATCACCTAAGAATACATAGTGAACTGCCAGAAAGGGTTAAAATGTGTGAAATTTTGAGAATTTTTAAAAGTGTACAGGCTAAACTAGAGGATCTTTGTCCCTAATAATAGGTTTAAAACCCAACTTTGTTTCATCTAAGTCACAATACTGTTGGGCATCCACACAACTTTAGCCTTTAGGAATAGAGTAAAACCTGTCTTAGTGAACACCTCTCTCTAGTGAACACATGTGTTCAGTGAACACCTCTTCTCACCACATACTCTACTGACTTTTGTCTACTCTACTGAAATTGCCTCTATGTTGTGAACACCTACCTACAGTGAACACATTTTTTTGTGGCTCTATAGGTGTTCCCCAAACACAGGTTTAACTGTATTTTTAGGTGCTGGATCAATCCCAAGCTGATTAAGGCATGTACACTCTTGTGATAAACTTTTAGAATGTGTACTACTCTGTCAATGGTTTTCTGGTTTCCAGTAAAATTATTAAATGAAATTGTTTATAAATTATATACAGATTATGTGTGTACATAGATAGTAACACATAATGTTGTAATGTTTTACAGAAATATACACAATTATATAAAATATAATACACATTTTATGTTATCTAATTTGGTAGGCTTGCCATGGAATTGATGAATAGCAGAATTGTCTGAATTTATCTGAAGAGAGGAATTTCAGGATCTTTTTTGCTCACCCCCTCAAATAGTCTGTCCATCTGTCCATTGTTTAAGGATTTAAGCACTGGGCTCGGTGCATTGTGGACTGAATCATTCCTCCAAGATTCTTTCAGTTTAGGCCAGTTAATCCTTAAACAGAACTAATTTCCTTACTTTGAATTGCAACTTCTCCATTTTGATGTGAATCTGGTTTTTGAATATACAAGAGGTGAGGGAGTGAATATGTCCAACCAACTTGATAGCCAACTTGAAATTGACCTAACCTAAATATAACCTTGGGTGGATTATGGTTTATATAATGCAATGTAGTTATATGAAATACAGTGTACTGATTGGCTTGAATTGGACACAACTTGCTAGCTATATGTGAATGGACAAATAAAAATTGTTTATCGTCTGAACTAATGCTCTTATACATTTTCAAAATTTATACTTTTGTCATATTTATCCCATCGAACGAAGTTCGGAGCTAGGGATATAAGTAACGCCTCCGTCTGTACGTACGTACATCCATCTATTTGGCGGCCATTTTTAAAAGTTTTGAAGAATGACCGCCATTTACATGTACATGTGTGTGGTATTTTATATTTGTCTACTTAGAAGCATATTACAATTACTTACCACAATTTCGTCAGTGAGCAACCATTTTGAAAAAAATTTCTTGTGTTATTTGACGATTTTTGCTCATCTGTAAGTATTTTGTAAAACTGGCAGTATGGTTGTTCTGTAGGATTTTCTATGCTTTGGCGTTGTTGTTAGTCTTGCTCAAAGACTGTATCCACCCCCCCCCCCCGTCACCTTCACTCTCTTTATCAGGCAATATACAGAGAGAGAGAAGGATAAAGGGGGGAATACAGGGTCTTTTAAGCAAGACTACGTTGCTGTTGTCTAGTTTATTTTAATGTTGCATTTAGTATATGCTCTGTGTCATATAAATGCATTTTACTAGAATAAAATTATATTCATTTAAAAACCTGTTACACAGTCTAATTCTGCAGTATGGAAGGGGAAAAGCAGGTAAGTAAATTTTAAATTCTAAATATCTTTTAGTTTTGCCATTCATGAACATTGATATTAAACATTTATATGTATTTCGTGAGCCAAGACAAAAAATTTGAAAATTAAGTTCAAGAAAATGTGTTTTGGATCTTATTTATAGTACCGTATATCCTTTTTGTAGTGTGTATACGAGGCCCGATCAGAAAGTAAGTAACCAACTACTCTTATTTCTTCATACTTTATTCAATCACATTGAAATTTTCACAGATGATGTAGAAAATATTAGCCTATTAAACAAGACCAAGGACAATGGGTTAGCGTTAATTCCATTGTTATTGCTGTTGCTATGGTGACAATTGTTTTGGGTAGGTGGGGCACCCTGTTTTAAGTCGCGTTTGAAGATAATTTGTAGAGTTTTTCTACATGTTGTAATACATTCTGTACCTCCAAATATATCAAATTCACATGTAAGATTACATTTTAACTCAGATTCCTTCAAATCATTCGCCACCAAGGTCAATGCAGTTG